TTTTTTGTTTACATTTCAAATGATATCCCCCTTCCCTCTTACCCCACCAGAAATTCTGTATCCCATTTCCCTCTTTTCCCTCCCCTTTCCCTCTATGAGGGTGCTCCTCTACCCACTCACCCACCTCACCACTCTTGAATCCCCCTATGCTAGACCTTCAAGCCTCCACAGGACCAAGGGCCTCCCCTACCACTGATGTCAGATAAGTCCATCTTTTGCTACATATGTATGTAGAGTCATGGACCTCTTCAAGTATACTCTTTGGTTGGTGATTTAGTCCTTGGGAGCTCTGGGTGGTCCAGTTAGCTGATATCGTTCTTGATATGGTGTTGCAATCATTTTTAGCTACCTGAGTGCCCCATGTGTTAATGGTTAACGCTAAAGAGAATTTTCTGGAGGAGGAAACCAAGCAATGGATGTCTTGCTTTTTTTTAGACTTTTCTAGACTTTTCCAGCACATCACAGGACTTCCTTCACATTCCCCACACTCCCTGTTCTCTGTCCTTTCTCCTATTCTTTTGTCAAGGCCTTTCTCACTCCCACTTCTGTCTCTAACTTACCAACTTCCCAATGTTGCCTTACACAAGTAAATCCCTTTTAAATCCACTCCTTGTACGTTTTGTTCATGGCAAGGGGAGAGTTGAGAGAAGGGAGCCTTCACCGTTTGCAACTGAGAGAGGCCCAGGGTGGCATGTTTTGAACATTGACCCTTAACTGCAACATTTACGGAGGCATAGACATTGCTTTTTCAAAATGTAACATTTTTATTGAATTATTTAAATAAAAATCATATCTACTAGACTTACATATGTTTCCTCAATAGTATAACCACAAAAGAGGAATTCTACCACCCAGAAATCTACTTTGCAATGAAGGATTGAATACACCTGAATACATAACAAGCATGTGTGAGTATGTCATAAAAGTCAATAACTAGTACAATTTACCCTCCCCTTGTCACAAACAAAACATACAAAGAATATATTTAAAAAGGCGTTTATTTGTGTAAAGAAACATTAGGAACTTGGTAAGTTAGAGACAGAAGTGCAAGTGAGAAAAAAGTCATGGAAAAAGAATAGGAGGAAAGACAGAGACCACTAACTCAAAGCCGTGCAGTGATAGAAGAGAGGTTTTGTACAGTGTTTTTCACATTGTATGTGTTCTCCAACATCATATTTGAATTAATTTATGTTACTTAATGTAAAGTTAATATAGTTAACTAACATGAAGTTAATATAATACATTTGTCTCTAGTGGCAATTTTCAGATGACTTTGAAAGTGATTTTCAATGAGGGAGCACCTTTCCCATAGCTTTGATGTTTGATTTTTTGTAAGGACAAGGCAATGTGAGAATATTTGTAGCTGACTTAGGCTCAAGTAAAAAAAAAAAAAAATGTATTCTTTGATGGTTCTTCAGTGAACTGGAACATCAAAGTATTTCCACAGTTTTTACACTTACAGAGTTTCTCACTAGTGTGGCACCTCGTATGTTCTGGAAATTTGTAAAGTAGATAAAAGCTTTCTCACATTGTACATTTAAAAGATTTCTTTTCCTGAATTTTAGTGAATGGGTGTAGTAGTTACTTTTATCGTTGGTGTGATGAATACTTGACAAAAGAAACTTACAGGATGAGGGTTTTATTTTGGCTCACAATATGGTACAAGGCGCATCAGGGCATGGAAAGCAGGTAGGCAGGACATGAGGCAGCAGTCACATGGCATCTGATTTGGAAAGCAGAGGAAGATGAATGCTTGTGGTCTGTTCACTTTCTCTAGACTCCTTGGATAGGTTCAGATGCAGAAGGTTGGGAATTCTGACCTGCTAAAGTCTCAAGGCATTCACACCCTCAGAACAGACAAAGCAAGACCCAGAGACCAGGCATTTCTTGTTGCTTGTCTGATTTCCAGTCCTGGCTATCAAATCCTGAGCCTCGAAATCATCTACTGCTAAGCTCAGCTCTAGGCCTCTAAACTTGATGCTTAACTTAAACATACAGCCTGGGTAAGGAATCACTGGAACATGTGGATTGCTTGCACACTGCTTCTAGAGACTTTATGCTGTATATGAAAGTCCTATAGGCTGTGTCCTCCATCCAGACTTGCCATGTGTAGTTATCTGGCACTAACAAGCCAATCTGGTTTCTACCACATGAAGTGATTAAACTGAATTGAGAACCTCAAGAGAATAAGAACCTGTGGTTGGGGAATCATGTGTTTAATCAGTGATGGAAGACAGAGAAGAGAAACAAGTAGAATGGAAATTCTGCCCTTTCTTCTCTATGGCTCCTTCTGTTAGGTTGCGAGGAATAACACTACATGAAAGAATTGTACTCTCCTGCCAGTGGGAAGTTGTCACTGGTCCCTATAAAATGATCCACAAAAGAATAAAGTCTTAGCTAGTAGGGTTGTTGGAGGAAAAAGACATGTATGTCCTTGCAACACAAGGGAAAAAGATAAAGGGATCCCAGCAGATAGAAAAAGGCAACAAGATAAAGTGAAGGACAAAATTGGGTTCAACTGCAAAAAGGAGAAAGCATGATCTGAATACAAAGGGACCTGTTTAAGTTTGCAGAACAGGATAAACATGTCCAGACTGAAAGAAGAGGAGGATGGGCTCTGGGAAGGACTGAGACTAAGAGGAGGCTGAGAATTTGTCTCCTCAGTGAACCCTCCCTTTTTGGCATCTCTTGGAAAGAGATAATGGCATTCAGCACCCTGCAGCTTACTGAGATGCCTAAGATTAGCTGTGGCTTCAGAAACCACTAGGATAAGGTTCTCATCTACCCACCCTATTGCCCCTCTCCACTGGATCATTTCAGAGAGTTCATTGTAGTCCCACATAACTTAACCCCAGTAGCCCAGGCAGTTATCAATATTCAACTGGAACCAGAGAGTGTAATATGCAGTTTTCCACAGCTACTCTGGTCCTCAATGGATGCTAACTAAGAATGGTACTTTATTACACAAAACACTTGATATTTTGTCAGTTGTTTCACTCAAGCCCAGGTTGATCTTTGTCTTTATTATGCTTAGAAGGCAACTAGAGTTCAAACTGATTCCCTGCTTCTGCCAAACGAGATCAGGGCTCTTGTTACATTCTCACTTCCTCTCTGACCTTGGATGACATGGTTGCTTGGCACTTGAGAAGCAGCACTACCTTTATGCCTGCATTTGTCATGTTAAATAACTGCTTAATTGGGGTACTTGCTTCGTGTGTGTGTGTGTGTGTGTGTGTGTGTGTGTGTGTATGTATGTGTATGTGTGTATCACACACACATCTCAAATTATATGTATGTGTGTTCAGATATTTGCTCTGTCAAATTTCTGCTAATGTTCATTTAAACTCTCAATATTTATTTAAACATTCCTTTAAAATCTATTGTAAATATAGAGATTAGAAAAATTATTAGAGACTAAGGTGGAAAAATAATAAATACCCTCCATGGCATGCTGAAAGTCTATTAGTATCATATTGAGTCATCAGAAGTTGTTGACAAAGTCACATTTATTAAAAATCTTGGAGATCACTGAAAGCATCAGAACATTATCAGAGTGTCATCCGTCCCACCGTGGAGACCAGACTTAGCCCATAAGACTCTACATATAAAGGCCATAGTCAACTACAAGTCATCTAATTCTCAATTTTCAGGTCCAAAATCAATTTGCTTCTGATGAAGGATAATGAAGATATGAGTGAAGACTCTAAGACAGCTCTACCCTCCTAAATCAAATATCAGTTTCTATTTTTAGCTTCCATCTGATCTAGCAAAAAAAAAAAAATGTGGTTTTATTTATTCCCAAAGGTACAGCTAAATAGTCACATTTTTTCCTGTCACCATGACCAAAAGATTGGACTTTGCCACAAGAATTTCTAACACAACGAACAGACTCAAGATCTCTCTGCATTGATACAGATTTTTCCAGCTTTATTCAGAAACGACAGAAGAATACTGTTGCCCTTTTTATCACTGTTCAAAGTTTATTTGGTGTTTTCATTGGCATGACACTTGAGTGGTTGGTTCCATCATCCATATGCAGATCTTACATTTCACATAATATTGCAATGTACACTACAGACACATATAATACATAAAATATCCTGTAGAACATTTATGCACAAGATATGCATAATGGACTTCCACACTAGAGCCAAGTTATGACTAACTGGGAACTCGTTATGCCTTCTTACCGTGCTTCTGTTACAGCTAACTCCTATCACTGTCCCCATTCCAGGACAAATGAAGTGGCTCAGACCCTCAGAATTCAAAAGCCAACTCAAGAGGTGAGAAATCTTAGCTATTTATGCAGGTCCATAAGCCACATATCATGTAATAAAGATGGTGTTTTTACAGGTAAGGCCAAGGGGCAGACCTAAAAGTTTGAGTCTAATGTTAGTGGGAGGAAAAAGGAAAAGCAGAAACAATAGCTCACATTAACTCAAAAATTGCCTTGGAGGCTTAAAGAGCTCCAAAGGGAAGAGCTGGAGGAAAATAGAAACAGGTAGCTTGGAGACCAGAGGTCACCTGAAGCAATTCTCTAGGCAAACAATCCTCAAAATGCTGTGGGGTCCACACATACCACCTAAGTCTGTCAAAGGCTCAGACACTCCACTTCTAAGTGTGATTTCCACATGAATGCTGTACATCACAAAGGAAAGAAAAACATTTTCATGCAGCTGTAAGACTGAAGTTCCCTGGGACACTTCTGTCCTCATGGAGAGGTTTTGTTTCTCTGACAGTAAAGTACTATATCATGTTGGGCTCAGGCCCAGAGACCTCACTTCTCAGGCTTAGAGTTATGTGAGTTCACAAGTGACCACACACTTCCATTAGTCAGTGATAGGTCACCAGAACTCCAAGGTCATCTACAAAATCATTGCACTGGTAGGAAAGGTTAGCTTACTTACCTTCAGCATACAAACGAGCCTTTCATATGCCCATGGGATAGCCTATCCACAATGAAACTACAAGCCCAGGAGAAGAGCTTTGGGAATCACATTTTAATTTCTGAGGAAAGGGAAAAATTTCCTGAGAGCTGCTTTGACTTCCTTGTTTCTCAAAGTATAGATCAGAGGGTTGAGCGTAGGGCTCAACATGGTGTACAGCACACCAGCCAGTTTGCTCTTCTCTGCATTATAGCTGGAGACAGGGCTTATGTAGGCATAGAAGACAGCAGTGTAATACATGCACACCACAGTGAGGTGGGAAGAGCAGGTAGAGAAGGCTTTCTGCTTCCCTTCTGAAGTTCGCATCTTCAGGATGCTGGAAATGATGAAGCCATATGACACAATGGTCATCAGGAAGTTGAGTATGCCATAAAAGGCATCAGCCAAGACAATCATGACACTGTTCACATAGGTGGAGCTGCAGGAGAGAAGCAGCAGGGGAGGCACCTCACAGAAGAAATGTGTAATGACATTGGGGCCACAGAAATTCAAGCGCGTCATCAGTCCTGTGTGAATGGCTGTGTTGAAAGCACAGAGCGCCCACACTCCAGCAGCCAACACGCTGCAGATTGCCTTACTCATCATGGTGCTGTAATGTAGAGGATGGCAGATGGCTGCATAACGGTCATAGGCCATGACGGTGAGGAGGAGCAGCTCTGAGGAAGCAGACCATGTAAGGAAATAGAGCTGGGCCATGCAGCCACCATAGGAGATGGGGTTCCTCTTTGACACCAGACCCTTCAGGGCCTTGGGCATAATGGAGGAGGTACAGATAATGTCCATAGTAGCCAAATTAAACAAGAAAAAATACATGGGGGTGTGGAGCCCAGGGTTGCAGGTGATGGCCAAGATGATAAGGACATTACCTGTGAGGGCCACACAGTAGAGAGAGAGAAAGCAGATAAATAAAAGGAGCTGGTACTGCAGGTGCTCAGAGAAGCCCTGAAGGATGAACTCTGTTACCAGTGTCTGGTTTCTCATCGTCCTTGACTGAGAAGGATATCCGAGACTAGTAGATGATTATGGACCCACATTTTCATAAGCTTTTTGGGCTAAAAAAAAAAAGTGAAAGATTTCTTAAGAAAGGTCATTGCCGTGTCTCCTTCCCTGACAACATGGTGGGAATGAGTGATAGCGTACAGCTTTATTGGGATACACTAAGACAAACACTTTACTGCTACATAAACAAAGAAGGCAAGCACTCGGTTCACAAAAAGTCAGTGCAAGTCACCAGTTACACTCATTAACTCTCAGTCAACCGCAAAGAAATGCAAACTAAATCAAAGATGCACTCTGGCATCCATGACTTGATCATCCTAGGAAGTTGATTGACTTAGTAGTCACATCCCCACAACAAACAAGGAAGATGGGGCTTGAGGAATAATGTCCAAAGGTGCTCTCTTGCCTCCACATACATCTGGACACAGACACATGGCTATCTGCACATGCAAATGCATCAGAACACATAAACACACACACACATCATACGCACACATACATACACAAATAAGTTTTCCATTTGAACAATACTTTCCTTTCTGGAAATTTTTTGTAGGCAAATAACACTTAAAAAATATTTTCTCAGAGCAAAATAATTTAGGACTGGAAATGACAGAGCTGCCTGTGCTCTTTAAGATGAATCTGTTGTCGTGTATTACTGTGCTGCTGGATACCTTAAAAATGATCCGCTGACAGCCTCTTACTTATTCTTTTTAAGTACAATGAAGATGTAAAGATACACAATCATTAAGATTTAAAGCACAAAAAATTAATAAAGGGGCATTGGTGTAGGTATCTGGAGACAAAATGACCTATGCATGATACATCAAGATGGTTTTCATTTCATTGCTTTTGCTAATGTGTTTTCTGATTTATCTCTGGAGTAGTTTTTCTGAAATGCAGGTGTATCAGGTTAGCTCCTTCTAATAATTCAGTGACTCCTCGATGCTGACAGCACAAATACTCCCATACAGTACTTCTGGAAGCTTCCTCTTCAGTAGACTCTTCTGACATGTCTTAACTCTCAAAGCCACAGCCACAGTCACAGTTACCACCACTGCCACGGCCACAGCCATGGCCACAAATGCAGCCACAACCAGCTCTCTGCAAATGCACTAGGTCACATCAGGTTTTGGGGGGTAGTTCCTACAACTTCCTCAGCCACAAGGTCCTTCTCCTCCTCAAAAGCCAAATGGGTCACCTGCTCCTCTTTCCAAACATCACCTCCCTGGTGAGAAATGGCCACTCTCCCTTTTAGGAACCCTCAGGATTGAATACTGACTTTTGTCCTAGAACCCAATGCAGATGCTGTTGACATGATTACAAAGCTGGCTCTCTAACAGTGGTCCAAGTGCCCGTGTGTGATTTTGGCCCAAGTGCTATGCCTTACACTCAACAACATTTGTTATTTCAATGCTAAAGAAAGTCTAGTCCTCATACCAGTGACAGCAACCACAGTTTGATTCTCCAGGTTCTGCTCACTGTGGCTGGAGAGGACACCAGAGTGTGTACCTCACATTTGCACCTTCTATCTTCTCAATCCCCAACTCACTAAAAGGATAAGAATGATTCTTTTGTTTGTTTGTTTGTTTGTTCGTTTGTGTTTGTTTTTCAAGACAGGGTTTCTCTGTATAGCCCAGGCTGTCCTGGAACTCACTCTGTAGACCAGGCTGGCCTCGAACTCAGAAATCCGCCTGCCTCTGCCTCCCAAGTGCTGGGGTGAAAGGCGTGCACCACCACCGCCCAGCTAAGAATAGTTCATTTTAAACTAAGAATTCTTTTTTGTTTTGCCGAACTTCTAGAGATGCATTTGCTACCAAAATATTAAAGGCTTACACAAAATGTCTAAGCATCAGCTACATATTGCTCTTCTAGAAGATGACAAGTGTTCTTTAATCAGAAGAGCATGGCATTGCAATGACATACAGCAACAGGCTGACTTAGGACGAAGCCTGTGCTGGCCGGCATGCTGGCCTTTATCTCAGTATGGCACAGGGATCTGAAGATCAGGACACCCCAATCGTTTGCATGAATGAAATAAGCACAATATGCCTGTTTCATCAATTTCATTTTTGTTTGATAACAAAAGACTAAACAGCATTCCTTTTCTTAATTTATTTGGATCAAGAGAAATATGTGACAATTCATGTTCCTCACCACCATCCAGAGGGTGAACTCAGCAAGGGAGACAGAAAAGCTGAGGCTGAGAAACTGAGTCAGGGCGAGAGGGGAGCATTGCTGGCTTTGATGGTCTACTGCAAGGTGTCTGCACTCTCCCTGGAATTTCCACACACTGACTTTTCCAGACCCCATGTTCCCTCCACAGCATAATCTATAGACTGACCAGAGTGTGTTGTCATAGCTACATCCGGAGGAGACCAGCACCTCCATTCCCTACACTCACAGAGCAGTTGAGAGCTTCATCACACTTTACTGAGCACCAAGAAAAGCCCCACTGACCACCACACAGTGAAGTTGGAGCCTGACTCTTTTTCTTCAGGTCCAGGGTAAGGGTAGGAAAAAGTGAACAAACCTCTGATGAATGAAGGATCTTTACAGGGATAGAGTAGTCAACTAATCCCTTTAGACTAAAGGATTCCCTCTTCAGAGAACTGCCCACTTCAAGTGATATTTTTTTTAAGGCAAGGTGGACAGTGTCCTGGTCCAGCTAGCCAACATGGAGGCAAGGAATCAGGTGTCCATGAGAATGGCCATGAGGTCTACCTCACCAGTCTCTGCTCCCAAAAGGCACAACACTAGCTCTCCTGTGAGGAGTCTAGAGCCTTGGCTTCAGTTTGCATCAAGCCTCAGAATTATCACAATGGTTGTGAATGGAAAGAGTAAGATTTCTGACATCAGCTGTGCGGTTTAAACTCCTGCTGGTCTCAGACACCACATCAGTCACTCAGGGGTATCTCACTCACATGCCAAATCCTCTAGTGGTTAAGCCACTTAGAAAACAAACACACATTGTGGATTTCATCACTTTAAAACACAACTGCACTCAAAATCCATGAAGTTAAAATTCACATTTTTCCCCCTGAAGGTAGGATGAATTTTACATGGTATACAACTTATTTTTAGTGAAATTTTATTTTAGTTCCAGTTTCTGGTTCATAATTTCACAAATAAAATATTACTGTCTTATGGTAATTAAGAATGAAGAATTTACTAAACCTCACTTTAAAATCTCTGTAAGGGCTCAGGGTTTCCAGAAACACTATGTAACTCATTTAATACACTTTATTATATATGAAGATGCACGGTCCTACCTTAAACGTATTTCAAAAACAGAAAACTCAAAATCAGAACATGCTAAATTTCAAGTATTCAGCTTTAAATTAAAATGACTTTGTCTGGTCTGTCTATTAAAGCCACTGTAAACAACTTGCCCTAATCACAGAGCTATAGCTGAAAAAGCTAGAATTCAGTCCTAAACTTTTGAATTCCAGTCCAGAATTCTTTGTTGTGTGATACCAACCTACATAGAGCCTAGCAAGTATTAAGGTAGCATTAAGAAAAAAAGATTCATCTGTCAACAACTGGCATGGGCATTTTTCTGGCTGTGCTGTGGCATACAAACCTTAAACTTAGCCACATTAACATCTCATTTGCATCTCATTTACATCTCATTTGTTTCATTGCCACATTTGTGGATCCAACAGTAAGGCAATGATTTTCAGGTAAGGTGGACAGTGTAGGGAGAAATATTTCCATGTCCACTGGTGCTATGTAACTAAATACATTTAGCTAAGGAATCACAGGCTGTTTCTATGCTACCCACTATTATCAAGTAGGCAGGATCACAAGTCAAACTTTCCCCACTGTTTTATGTCACCCCACGGAACAAACAGTCCTTGAAATTCTCATCATTACCTTGATCAACTTCCCCCTTGAGCAGCAAATGCAATTCATGGATGACTTTCTCTCTGTCAACCACAGTTGGGGACATGATGAAACTGAGTTCCTGAGCAGGCAGATGAAGATTTTTGTCCTCCTGATTTAAGTTCGTATTGCCAAGATGTTTAGATTCATCTTTAGTAAACTTTGTCCCTGTCCTTGGGAAACACTTGGGAGAGGTGTTCACATCCTTTCCTTTAAATGGACCCAGAAGGAGCAATTAAATGAAATCCCTCTTTGCTGGGGATTTGGCTGTCATGGGTGGACACATACATGCCATCTGGGCTTCAAGCCAAATGTGTGGAACAGAATATAAGGCCCAGTGGAAGATGTCAGGACATCTCCACTGTCCCAGCTCAGAGAATTGAGGTCAGAGAAGACCTAGGCTCAGTTACTCAGAGTAACACATTCACACCTAGAAATGTGGCATTTTATTTTCTCCATCTGAATACATTTGCTCAATATAAAGATGATCAGTTTTATCCACTTTCCTGAAAATTGAATAATTCCATTCTTCTTGATGACTGAATAAAACTTCATTGTCTATATATACCACATTTTCTTAGGCTTACTCAATAATAGCTATTCCAACTAGTGCAGCCATAAACATAATTGTATAAACACGTATGTGGTATATTGACTTACAGTTCTTCAACAATATACTCAGGCCTGTTATGGATGGTTCTAATGATAGAGCTTTTTAAAGGAACTTCCACATTGATTTCCATAGTCTTTGGACTAATACGTATTCCCACCAACAACACATGAGGGTTTTCCTTTCCCTGTGACTTCTTCTGCACTTACTGTTATTTATGCTTTTAATGGTGGCCATTGTGACTACACTGAGATTACATACCAAAATAGTTTTAATTTGCATTTCTCTGATGGCTAAGAAAGTGTAGTATTTTTTTCATGTTTATTGGTCCCTTGTATGTTATTTTTTCAGAACTGATTGTTCATTAGTCCATCTATTTATTGAATTGTTTGGTTTTGTAATATTTAGTAATTTGAGTCTTCTGTATTTCCTAGATATTAATTTGCTGTAGAGATATAGTTAAAAACATATTTTCTTCTATTGCATAAGCTACCCCTTCTCATTGTTTCCTTTACCCCACAGTTGTTGTTTGTTTTTAATTTTGTG